GAATTCTGGGAGAGAAACACAGGGAGGAAGAAACATGTGGCTGCCAAGGAAGAAAGAGGCATTCTCCAGTAAGCCAAAACTATGTGGGGATACACAGACTAATAGAAATGAATTAATAATTAAGAGAGAGCTAACCTATAAGAAGCCTGAGCCACTCACCAGTTTACAATTAAAATAAGCCTCTGTGTGTTTATTTGAAACTAAATGGCTTCAGGATTGGCGGGACATAAACTTCTGTCTACAAAACTTATACTAGCAAGCATCTGTAAAATGTAGACTAAATTTTTTTCCCAGATTAAAATTGTTGTATACATTGTGTCAAGTTGGTCAAGGAAAATCATTCTTATCAACTGAGCAAGTTCCTCATTTGTAAATGAAGGGGACAGGGAATTTAGAGCTAACACATGTAAAAGCATTAGAGCACTAGAAGACATTTGTCTTCAGCATTAATCACTGTGCTTTTGTAACTAATTCTTTCCACTCAGAAGCGGAGTTAGTGGTTGTATTTGACATATTGTAGGATATCAGGGTTTTCTAGATATGCTTGTCTGTTAAGAGATCATCTCATCACAGACTTAACCTATCTTATGTCTTTGTTTTTATAGGGGTTGTTTGTTTCAGACAGGCTCTCATAGAGCCCAAGGCTTTCAACTCCACGTCCTCCTCCCTTACACTCCCAAGTGCTATGATTACGGGCATTCACCATCTTGGCCCAGTTTATAGTTAAGATTTAAAAAAAAAAAAAAATAGTATTAGGCATGGGCTTACCTACACTGAGAGAAATTCTTTTATTTGTTCATTATTATTGTGTATAAATACATGGTGTACTGGGGGGACACAATGCATGCAGAGATAAGAGGATAATTTTATGGAAATCATTTCTCTTCTACCATTGTATGAATCTTGAGTCTCAAATTTGCTCAGCAACTGCATTAGCCACTGAGCCAGCCAGGCCCATGCTAAAAAAAAATTCTAAGTGAGCCTCTAGAAGCTGCTGGAGTATAGCATTGGCTGAGATGGCTACCTTCTCCCAAGTAGAATCATTTTTGTCAAAATAGTTATGACAACTGCTACTATAATAATCTCAACTAACAGGAGTTATTATCTACCAGATTCTGCTGTTTTTTATGAATATGATCTTATTTTAAAACACAGGGAAATATGATATTCTAAACTATTACCTTGATTTCTAATTATGTATATGTGGGGGAGGCACGTATGTGCATATGGGTCAGTGCTAAAGTTCCTTGAAGGAACCCAGAAGATCTTGAGTGAATCCCAGACAATTGGCATTTAGTTATTCACACAGTTGGAGTTTGGTTTTGCTTTGTTCAGATTGTGATTGTGCACTGATTCTTCTTCTTGAAGAAAGTATCTAACTTAAGTTCTTTTACAGGAGCCCACAGTTCAAAGACTTTGAATTTAAAAATATTCTGGATTTTTAAAGTGACTGGTTATTTTAAAAAGACTGAATGTTTAATATGTTTGAATGTCTAGGGACTGTGGAACTTTTAAAGTTATTCTATCTTATACTGTGATATTAATATTAAATTCTGTCTTAGGGATAATTGAAAAGTGATGTTTGTGTATCAAGTTGACAAGGGATCAGTTGTACTGGCTAGTTTTATGTCAACTTGACACAAGCTGGATTCATCAGGAAGGAGCCTCCGGTGAGGTGAGAAAATGTCTTCATGAGACCCAGCTGTAAATCATTTTAATTAGTAATCAATGGGGGAGGGCCCAGCCTATTGTGGGTGGGGCCATCCCTGGGCTGATGGTCCTGGGTTCTATAAGCAAGTGGGCTGGGCAAGCCATGAGGAACAAACCCCTAAGCAGCAACCCTCCATGGCTTCTGCATCAGCTCCTGCCTCCAGCTTCCTGCCCTCACTACTTTAGATGATGAACTGTTACATGGAACTGTGAGCAAAAGAAATCCTTTCTTCCCCAAGCTGCATTTGGTCATAATGTTTCATCACAGCAATAGTAACCCTAACTAAGACAACCATCTTTTGGCAAAAAGATTTACAAGTGGTTAAGAGCACTTGCTATGATTTCAGAGGACCTGAGTTCAGTTACCAGCACACACCAGGCAGTTCATAGTCGACTGCACTCCAGCTCCAGGGGATCCAGACAATGTCCCCCTTCTGGCCTCTGCAGGTACCACAGTCACATGCACATACCCACATACAGCCACACATACAAATAAATAAAATCAGTCTTAAGTTATTATAAAAAGACATGTGTTGATACTGTCAGGTAAAAGGTTGATAGGGAACAGTATGTTTGCAAGGCCCCAAACATAGCATTTCTGTTTTACTCAGTCAAAGAGGAAAAGCTACAACAACTTTCAATGTTGCGTTACTTGGTCCTACAACACAATCTCATGGCCCACTAGGACAACCAGAAATTAAGTGAATTCTCATGTGTGACAGAACATACAATGCCCCTTATAAAACACCATTTTTCAAAAAATGGTTAAAATTAATGTAACCAAATCTTGACATTTCTCCCAATTGATAGGAAATACAAACGTAAAGGAACAAATTAAAGAATACTTGAAGGAATCAAAGTGCCAATACTATTTAGGCACTGTGACAGTTTACTGAGATGTCAAAGGCACGAGACAAAAACAAACAAATAAGAACATTCTGCAATATTGGAGATGCAATAGCATAACAGCCCATTTGCTTCGATTTTAACAGGACTCTCACTCCAAAACAAGAAGGGCTCGGAGGAATAGGGGCTGAACAAGCCTGATCTCAAACGGTAATTCATAAAGTTACATTAAAATTTGACACCGCCAACATAATTACAATAGAGGTCTAAACCTAATTTTTAAAAGTACAAGATGACTAAATAATAGTTCCCTTTCCCCTTATCCATGAGTATTACATTCCAAAGACTCAGTGGGTTCCTACAACCGTTATTAGTACTAAACCTTATACAAACTATACACTATGTAAACATTAGTACCATAAAAGATTAACAACAACCAAAACAACAATTACAACAGTGTACTGTAGTAGAGCTTACAGCAATGCTCCCCATCCCATGCCATAGAATGGGCATTTCATCCAGTAGAATACCCTGAACAAAGGGATAACTCCCATCCTTGGGAGGACAGAGCAGGATCTTGGGCGAGAAAGATTTCACCACAATACTCAGAACTGAGTGTAAGTTAAACCCAAGGAGTTGCTCACTTCTGTAATTTCCCACTTAACAACTTCAAACCTTTATTCAGAGCAGATAACTGAAACCACCCAAAATAAAAAAAAAAAAAAAAATAAAAAAAAAAAAAACACAACAATAAACTCAATTTCTGAAATCGTAAAAGCTCGTCCACTGCAGCAGGGAACCTGAGACTATGCAGTAACACTCTGGCTGAGTATCAGAAACCTCCATAAAGCAGGGAGAACAGACCAAGGGATTGTGGTAGTCTCTAATGCCCTTTCACAGGGTTTGCAAGGCCACAGCCAGTTTTGCAATACAATATTAGTCACAAGGTTCTCTACTGCCATGTACTCATGGAAAAAGAATATTTTGTTGACAAATATCAAAGCAGCAGTGAAAAAAACTATTAATCTTGAACCTTTTATACACATAGATTTAAGTATTCTATGTGATAAAATGAAAATATATAAACCACTACCATGCAGTATATTGTTTAATACAAAATTAGAAGCAGATCAGTTTTAATTGAGTGGTGTGCTGAAAGTTCAGGAAGTATTTTCCAATTCCGTTGTGCCTCCAACTTTTAAGAGTACTGTTTGTCAAGTGTTGCTGAACTACACAGAAAAGCACCTGACTTCTTCTTGTAGTTGTATGTCCAGATTGTATTCATATACTTTAAGTCATCATATCACAACATGCTAACTATACAGAAGCAGAAATAAAAGCACAGGGGTCTATTTACTAATCTACACATTACAAAGACTTGCAAAAATACCAAATAGTAAGGGGGGGCATCATTTCTAATAAAAAATATGATTCATGATCCAGCAATTCCAAACACTCAAATGAAGGAAATCATATTCAAGCAATATTTGCAATCCAATATTTACTGGAGAAACAGTAGCCATGACATAGAATCAACCTACATGCTCATGAATGAGTAAATAAAATGTGGTATATGTGTGTGATGTTCAGCCACAGAACACTAAATTCTACCACTAGTAGCAACCCAATGAGAACTAGAAGACACTTCAGTAGGTGAAGTAAGCAGGCACAGAACTCACACACCCAGAGGTACAGGGGCTAAAGAACTGGTCTTACAGAAGACAGCCTAAAATAGTGGTTATAAACTAGAAATGGGAAGGAATTGGGGGAGCGGGATAATGAATGGCTAACACCAGCTTCAAATGTGTAACATTACTCCCCTGTTTCTGCAGACAGGTTATCACTGTGTATCCTGGCCTGGCCTTGAACTCACACTGCTCTTACCCCTGCACCCTGACTGTTAGGATTGTTAGTGTGGACTCCTGTGCCAGCAACAGGGGTGAGTAAATATTCTATAATATAGCACAGTAACTGTGGATGACCATAATTAATCATGTATCTCAAAACAGCTAGTAGTGAGGATTTTGAAAATTTCAAACACGAAAGTACATGAAGTGATGTTAAACAAAATTTCATTAATATCAACACATATTATCTTAATTCACGTAATAAGAAAAAGTTTCTAATTCCACAAGTTATATTATAGTAAATAACAAATGCAACAGAACCTCTTTCAAGTTTTCAATATTTTTTGTGGATGTATGGAGGCCATTAAGACCAAAAAGTAAAAGAATACCTGATTTACAAGAATGAAACAACTAAACAAATACATTGGTGAGGCTAAGAGAATTCGAATAAATAGAAAGGAAAGTGTATTCTAAGTCCATTGCAAATGACCCAAGCAAAATCAATGATAACAACAAATCCTGCATAAAGCCAGGTTGAAATGCACTGTGGCACAACAAATGTCAGCTTTGTGAAAACAAGAAGTCCAGGCTTCTTACCCTGACTGTGAGGACTTGCAGGACTGAGAGATGATGGCTGGTATGGTTCTTTAGTTGGTGTTGGATAAGCCTCTTTCCCTTGGCGCTGACTCATCTTTCCTGGGGTCAAAAGCTGAGGTTCGTCACTGTTTGCTACAACAGCTCAAGGAAAGAAAAGAAAAGTAATTATCACTGAAGTCATGGGCTTTATGACATAATTAATAACTTGGAATAAAACAAATTCCTTTATGATTATATTAATCTTACTACTTCAATATGCTTGCATTATCATTTTATTTTTAGGTTCAGTTACCATAAATCCAAGAGGAATAGACAGATTAAGTCTCATTTAAATATACTTATTACAGAATTACAGATATTGACCATATTCAACCAATAGGGGCCCCTATGTACTATGCATCTTTCACAGGGTAACATTAATTCTTCATTATCTGCCAAATAGACAAGTCATTCTAGAGAAGACGCACAAATGGCCAGAAAGTATAAGGAAAGATGCACAGCTGTGTGAATGATCAGAAAGCACAAATCGGTAGAGGAGAAAAAACTATACGTTCAACTGAATTTCTACAGTGATTTTTGATGGCAACTAGCTAAGATTTTAGTTTCACCTTTGTCTCAGCTGGTGGTGCCACTGCTCTTCTGCCCCCACTTTCCCAGGGCAAATGCAAAGATGCTCTTTGATTTTTCTTTCTCTCACTCTTCATGCCCAGGTGTCCATGCAATATTTAGACTCTCCTTCAGACTTTTATCTGGGATGCTATGGCTTCTCTCCACTTCCACAACTCCCTCCCTGAACCCACCCTACCATTACCTTTCCAGAAGCCTACTGTATCAAGTGGTCCGTCAGGTGACATGTTATCCTTTGTTGTGTGGAGTTCATTTTCCACACAGAGGCATAAAGAGTCACTATCATTTGAATTGGTAAATCACATGCACATCAAATGGAAGTATTCTTAATAGCGTTCCATTTTATACAGTGCCTGGTACCACAAACCTGTAATTCCAGCTACTAGGGAGGCCGAGGCAGAAAACTACAAGTTCTATGCTGGCCCAGGCTACAGAGTGTTGAAGTTCAAGGCCTGCCTTAGCAACTTAGGGAGACTGTTTTGGTTAGTCACTGTAGCTTAGATGTAGTGATGGTGTTATCCCTGGGTTTAATCCCTGGTTAAAAGAAAGGAGAAGAAGGAGAAAGGAGAGGGGTGGAGGGAAAGGAGGCAAGGGAGAGAGAAGAGGAGAGGGAGAGAGAGAAGGAGGGAGGGAGGGAAGGAAGGAAGGAGGGAGAGTGAGAGAGAATGCTGAAGAGCAAGCTTGCTTTCTTTTCTTACAATAAATCCATTGTCTCAAGAGTCAAGGGGTCTGACACCTCTGTATCCTTTCAAATTCCATTTGGCTCCTGTAATAAGGGCCACCTTAGTATTCCTTAAAATTGTCTCCCTACAATATTCTGTTTTATTTCTTTTTAAGATTTATTTTTTAATGTGTGTTGTACCTATGCAAGTATATGTCACATGTGTGGATGCCTAAGGAGGCCTGAAAAGGGTGTCAGATCCTCCAGAATAGTGGTTATCAACCCTCCTAATGTTGCTACCATTTAATATGGTAGCTCATGTTGTGGTGACCCCCCCACCATAAAATTATTTGGTTGCTACTTCATAACTGTCATTTTGTTACTATTATGAATCATAATGTAAATAGCTGATATGCAACCCTATGAAACAGTAAAACCCACATGTTGGGAAAAGTCTTTTGGTTTCTTCATGGTGCCATTTATTACTTTCTTGGTTTTAATGCAGCACAAGTCAATCTCTATGTGTTACTGTGCACCCATCTCAAGCTACTGTCTGTCATCATGATTCATGGTAGCTCGTATCATTACCTGAGGTATTTAACTATTGCCTTCACTCTTCAACTAGCACTTAAAGTTTCATGAGTGGTGAGGCTTTTATCTGCCTCATTTCCTTAATCCTGATTTGCTTCCTGACATACTCAAGATACTCCTTCCTGTTACACTAAAAGTAAGTGGTGAAATTTTACTTAAAAGTCAATCAAAGTAGCTTTCTTATTTTTATGAAGCTTCATTAGCATAAAGTATATATTTTGGATCCTCCAGCTACTAAATCTGATTCATTTGATTGATTAAAAAATAACTAAGATTTATAATTAATAGTGGGAACACACAATAAACTGAGTCATTTAAATAACTTTCCAGAAAAACAGTGACAGACCCCTTCATATGTGTAGTCTGGACACATAATAAAAACATAATAAAGACACTAGGACAAGTGATTTGGGCATACCAGACAAACGGATGTCATCCTTCATTGTAATACACATAAGGAATAGTCCCACGAAATTAAAGGAACACATGAAAACCAAAAGTAGAGTATTTCTATAGACCTGGGGTAGGCAATGCTCCCTATACAAAGATGTAAAAGCTAGTTAAAAAAGGAATTGATAAATACTAACACTGCAACATCAAAATTATGAATTAATTCTTCAGATAATCTCATAATGAACCTGAAGAAACACTGGGCAGGAAAATATATTCACAGCCATATAGTTAACAATGGTTGTAGCTGAAGTGTTTTCAAGCTATAGCTCCTACACATCAATTAAAAAGACCAACAGCATCACAAAAAAAAAAAAAAAAAAAAAAAAAAAAAAGAACTGAACAATATTCCACAGAAGATGCAGATGTCCAGGAAGCATATAAAGATATTCTTTCTGCTTAATAATCAGACAGGTAGATACAAGTTTTACAGCAGGATATTCCACAGTCAGAGCTGAAAAATTAATAAGTCTGATAATATCAAACGCGGAAGGTGGGATCATCAAAACCTCGGGCACTATTGGATACAAATTAATACCAGCACTGTGGGGACAACTTGGGACTAGCGCATACTTGATGAATACAACACAATCTTGTTCTTACACCTAGAAAAACTACTACATGATGTAAAAGACAAGGATAAGAATTTTCAAACAACATTTTTCAGAAAACAAACAAAACTAATGCCCTTAAACAGTTTAAATACTCATCAACTAAAGATAAAACGGGGTGCTTAAGGAGTGCTGGAGAAACAGCTCAGTGGATGGGAGTACTAACCACTCTTCAGACAGCCCGGGTTAGACTTCCCATAAACACATGACAACTCACAACCATGTGTGACTCCAGGTCTAGGGGTAGTAACACCCTCATCTGACCTCTGCTGGCACCAAGTGCACAGACATGCATGCAGGCAGAACACGCATACTCATAAAATACAGCAACAATACTAATTCTAAAGTAAAGATTTTAATGAGTTAGCCAAGTGTGTGGTGCACATCATTAACCCCAGGATTGGAGGGCAAAGGCAGGGAGATCACTATTCTTTGGGAGCAGCTTATACCCCATAGCAAATCCTAGGCAAGCCAGCACTACACAGTAAGACTCTGTCCCATAAAAAATAAAGTAATAAAATGGGTTAATAAATTATGGCACAAGCATAAGCTAGAATAGTATATGGCATCTATGTCTGAATCAAACAGCATAGATGAATCACAGAAATACACCAACTACAAAACCCCAAATTCTCAACATATTACATATACTATGTTACAGCCCTGTAAAACACAGGGTTGGCAAGGCACTTGCCTAGCGTAAGAGAGGTACCCTGGACTCAGTCTCTCATATCAGAAAAGAAACAAGAACCCAAACTGATCAGAACTCACATTCCTGTCTGTCTGCCTCCCAGATGCTGGAACTACAGATCTGTGTCGTCATGCCATCTCTCAAATAACCTCTTTTTTCACAGTGCTGCACAGCAAGACAGAAAGCCCATCTTCCTATTGGTTTTGTCTCAACCCATTCACAAACATTAACCATTTGCAGACGAAAGCAGCCCTTCATAACACACATCACCAGTGTCCTACAAGAGGTGCACAGCAGCAGAATATCGCAACAGAAGCCTAAGACTTTGTTTTTGTGTGTATCCATTGACACAACTGATAAATAACTGCTAAATAACTAACTGAAAAGCTATTTGGCAATGAATCACCATTGCAGCCTGTTTCTGACACGCGATTCACCTGCCAACAGTGACATTATAGTGCCCTCTGCTGGTTCCACTTACAGTGCAAATAGCCCACTTTGCAGCTCCTACTACCTAACAGAAATCACTGGAATAATTAATATTATGGTTACTGTACCAGGTGTGAATCTATCACTTTCCTTAGTTCCTGAATTTAACTCAAACATTTCAGGAATTTTGCATGTTCTGGTGTTTGCCTGTAGGCTACAGGGAGGCTAAGATAAGGCACCTAAGTAACCTGACTCCTCTTATCATTTATGAATGTCTTTCTTTTATAAAATAATGGTACTGATAGGTTTCTTTTATAAAATAATGGTACTGATAGGATGTAGTAATATTTGTAGAAGGTATTAGAGATTTAAAAATATTCTTGGCAAAATGAAAAACTGGGTAAAAAAGGATTTATATTCTACTTTAAAATTTTCTACTATCTCATAATATTGCTATGTAATATACCACATATTTTAAATAGTAAGAATTGTTGCATTTTTAAAAATTAGTGTTACTTCAAATTATAATTTTATTAAAATTAATATGAACTCTAACCTGTATTTGAGAAAAAGTCAACTAACATAAACCAAAGATTATATATACTCTTTTTACTAAAATATATTAATTGTGGGAAATGAGTTTCATTATGACATAATATATGTAGTCACATTCATGCCACCAGTTATCCTCTCTTTAGAAATAACAACAATGACAAACATCTCATCATGAAAAACTTTTGCCATTATTTTGCTCAGTCCCTTTCTTTGAACCCAAAGCACAAAAGATGGTTTGCAACAGTGAGGTGACTGAAACTTCTAAGTCAGTTTCCTATACTGTTATTCAATAAAAACCAAAACCTCCGTCTAATATACCATCAAATAAAACTTTGATGATTTTGTTGGACCTGAATTCAACTCACAACACTTTGCTCTTGCTTTCTAGTTCAGGAACAGCAGTACAGAGTGAGTGGGCAGCCAGCTGTGGCTTCCTGGATAGTTAAGCTTTTAGCTTCTGACCTTTCAGCTATAAAATTAATGTTTTATCAATTGGTCTTTCCAGAAGTTCTTTTCAGTTCAGTGTTGGTATGATTTTTTTTTAATGTAACTGTTGAGATGGGCTAAAACAATCCTGAAGTGTCGTGTTTTATTTATCGTGCTTATTCAAAAGCTACCACAATGTGCAATCCTATTCAGAAAAAACAAAACCAGCAAAATTTGTTACAGTAAACTGGATGTTTTAAAAGATAATCTTCTAGAGCTCTGAAACATTTTCAAAAAAACAAAAATTTCACTATCAAATTATATAGAAATGTTACAAACCTAAACACTATTTCACAGTTTGATGAGGCAGTGAGTTCCATATACGATCTCTTTATGCCTGTGATGACTGAACAAGGGTTTTATGGGAAAGAGATCCTAGATCAGGGGTTCTCAATGCTGCAACCCTTTAATACGGCTCCTTACACTGTAGTGACCCCCCCCATTGTAAAACTTTTTTTGTTGCTAGCTTATTAGTGTAATGTTGCTACTGCTATGAACTGTAATATAAACATCCGTGTTTTCTGATGGACCCCTGGGAAAGGGTTGTTCAACCACAATGGGGTCGTGACCCACAGGTTGAGGACCACTGCTTTAGATGATTGTGACACCAGTGCAGGCTCTGTCCGTGGCTCTCACATGGACAAGTGCAACAGATGGTGGACATTGAGTATTTCTACACTCAAAACTGAAATATTATTTGTCATTTATAAGGAACACCAAAATATTAGCATGTCCCCAAAACATGACATTCCAACTTTAGCTACTTACTTGATGGCCCAAGGACATCTTTGTTATCACCAAGAAGCTTTTAATGCAGAGGAATTGAGCAGCAGACACACACAGTCCAAACCAGGGAGCAGCAGACACCGGACGGAAGCAGCAGTGAGACAAAAGGACAAGAGGAACAGCGTTAGTCTGTGAGTAGGAAGCGCAGCATGCAGGCTACAGTCGGTCATCGCCATTTTTTAGACACTTCCTTCTCTGCACTAAAGGAGCCCTGGCTTAGGCAGTACCTCGTATTGGTTTCAACTTGGGAAGTGAAGGGAGGGAGAGAAATAGAATCGCTGAAGTGCACTGCTTTGCAATGACTCAAGCCAGAAGTTCCTTTTGATTCCAATTCAAGGTAGGGATTAGGAGCACTCGTGCTTTTAAACTTTAAGCTTTCAAACTACCTAGCACTCATACTGTACTCAACAGCAGGATTCATGCCATCAGTGCACTCTCGCACTCTCTACAGAGATTTAGTCTTACACACACACACACACACACACACACACACACACACACCACAATGCTTATTATATGGCAAGCATGGTGCAAACTGTTTCTACAAAGACAACAACAAAATAGATCAGTTTTTAGCAAAATGGCAAAAATTAAAAGAGAAAGTTACTGTCAGATAAATAAGTTTAAAGTCTGACATAATTTTCTTAGGACTCACTAAACACAAGCATAATCTAAATAAAGCTCCTTTTTCTTTAGGAAGTCAGAAGATATATTCCCAACCTCCCAACCTCACTCCAGCCTCACTGAGTCCCCTAAGCTGGTCTCAGTCCCACAGTCCTCCTCCTTCAGCCTCCTATGCTCTGCCATGCTAAGCAGAGGACTCAGTTTTCATGAGAGGTTGAGATCAACCCTCTATCTAGAAAATCTAACCTCCAGCATCAATCACCAGGGCCTCCCTTAGTGGTACACAGCTCTCAGCCATCTACCCTGCACTTCACATACCAAACTAAAACTTCCCACTGATGACACTCTTTCTGGGCACAGAGAAGGAATTGTCATTGGCTGTGACTAAACAAGGTGACCTGTTTGATTGAGGCTCTGTCATCTCCTTGGAGAAATTCTCCTACCTGTCACTTTCCTAGGTGATAACTATTGAGCAATTCTGGGTATCATGTTCTAGTGTCTATTTTTCTTCAGATGCCAATCAACGCTTATTCTTCTATGAACAGATTTCAGTTTCACAGAGTACAGCTCTGCTGACAATGGGCTCACTGTGCTCAGGTCCTTATTACAAACAGCAAGCTTAAGGGAGAAGATTAAGAGAGGTAAAAGATTAAAGTATTTGTGAGTCAGGGGCTAGAGAGATGGCTCAGCTGTAGAGAGTACCCGCTGCTCCTCCAGAGGACCTGAGTTCACAACCACCTCCAGCTCCAGAGAATCCACTTCTGGGCCCTGCAGGCCCACAGGCACACACCCACAAGGGGAAAAAAAAAGTTGACACATAAACACATAATTTAAAGTAAAAAAAATAAATCTTAAAAATTAAAACGGCCAGAGAATTTGTGCAGATAGTCTAGAATGGTACCCAGTGGTCCTTATTCCCTGGTAAAGGGTGCCTTGTCTCCCAGAGAGTGCAGAACTGCCCTATTCCCCTTTTATTAGTTTTGCTTTGGGGGCAGGAGGCATAGGCTTGGTTTTAACAGTGTTCAGGCTGTTTGGAAACCCTTCGTCTTCCTGCCTCAGTTCCTGGACTGTTAAGCATGCACCACCAGGTCTAGCTCACCACTCATGGAGAAAAAAGTGGCAAAAGGATGGTGGACTCTCTCACAGGTCAATCTAAGATGCCCTCCATTGGGTACCAGGCAAATACTGAGGGGAAGCATTAAGTGAACTTGAAGAGGGTCTCTCCTCACCAGCTAATCAAGTTTTCCAAGGAGATAACAGCAGAACTCCCTCCCTAATCTTAACTGCAAACAACTGTTCTTGGATTCCTGAAATAAGTGCTCACTATTTAATACAACTTAATTCTGTGTTCATTTATGAGACAAGAAACACATAAATAAGTAACACCGGAAAACTGTAAGAAGCCAGGAAGCTGACAGAGAGACACTATAGCCAACTCTAAAAATGCTTCCAAGGTATCTATGTTTAAAAATCTTCCTGGGATGATAACTTTAGAGAAAACCTAGACTTACTTGTCTTAAAACAACCCCCCTCAAAAAGAAAACCTGAAACAAACAAACAGAAATATAGCAGTTCTGTATAATATAGGACAAAATGGGGATTGTTCACCATGGAGTAAGGACCAGTAGGTGCCATTTTGGATTATCACAAATACTTTTGCCTTTTAAATTTCTTACATTTTTTTTATTATGTTTTTCCCCTAGATTTACCAGTAACTTCCCTAAGAAAAACCTTAGTTTTAATCATACACAAACACACAAGAACAAGCATGTGTGTGTGCACATGTACATACAACAAAAAAATTTTAGTTTTACTAAACCTACACATTTGAAGGTTTTAGAATCCACCTTCTATTTGGAGTAAAAGGTTAACAAGCTTGTTTTCATTGTACAGTTTTGTTTTATATTCTCCAATTCTGTTGATTAAAGGGCCTCTTCTGGCTTTTGTGCTGTTTCTATCCCTTACCTGTTCACTCTCAAAAAAATAATTTCTAGTATAGACAGTAACTTTTAGGTATTGTTCCAAAAATTGCATTATAATACCAACACTATACCTTTCAACATGTCTGTGCCAACTGAATCTTATCCCATTGGATTAATTCTAACTTGTTCAATTTGACACAGTGAATAATGGCCTGAAATACATACTATCAATATATCCAGTAAATATTTACTAACAGCTATAGACAGACATCATTTTAAGCACCAAAGGATACTAGCAGTAAATGAAACAGACAAAAATCCTGTCCTGGGCTGGGGTTTGTACCTCAGTGGTACAGTGTGTGCCTAGCTCTGACCCTGGGTTTGATCCACACACCGCCAAAATCTGAATTCTGTCAGAGTAGCATTTAAGTTTTAGTGGAGAAAATGGAGAAGACCAAACATTACATGATTTAAAATAAAAGGAGAAGGTAAGCAGAGAATAGGGGGCAGACTGAGCATCAGGGAAAGGACAGGTAGCCTAAGAACACCCTACTACAGGTTCAACAAATAAGACAGAGAAAAGTATCCTACAGGGGACAAAAAGTAAAGACAGAGGACTGGGATGTAAGCCAGTGCCAAGGGTCTGGGAAAATGTGAACGCAGAAGCTCAACCCTGAAGTGAGTGAGGTATGAGGGTGCTAAATTACGGAAGTCTTTGCATGGCCCTCTTCAGGCTTTGTATTTTGAACAGGGTGAGGGAAGCAAAAGAAATGGTTTTGAGAAAGGGACTGATATGGTCCGATTCTATTTTAGCAGCATTATTCCAACTTGCTATTCTGAACAAGAGTATAAGTGGAGCTTACTGCAACAATCTGAGGATAACACAGTAGCAGCAGTGAGGTGATGAAAGGCTGGCTATTCAGTTCTGAATATAATTTCAAAGTACAGCAGCAGGATTTCCAAGCAGACCAGGTGGGAGGTAAGAGAGAAGGAATCAAGATGATTCCAAGTGATCTGAATTGAGCAACTGCATGATGGAAATGCCATTAGCTAAGCAGATGTGTTATATGGAAAATGCCAAGAAGCAGGTGTGTTATATGGAAAATGCCAAGGAGCTCCGGGAGGCTACTTGTGAGATGCCTGTTAAGATACCCCAAGCGGATGACAAGAAGGCAGCTGGATATGTGAAGTGTGTACAGAGAAAAGGTTCAGGCTACTAGAAGCAGCACAAATGATGACATGTGTGAGTTAGGTTTATGACCTGAATGTCTTGGTCACTGATGATTGACAAATGACATAGTATAAGAAACAGGCACCAGAAAGCTAACTTAGAATGAACAACAAATCTAAGACTCACAAGAAAGCACTCCAAAAACAAGGCTAAAACACCATGAGAACAAAGCATGGCATCAGGAAACATTTCCCAGGAATATATATATGGACAGGGGCATTGCATGGGATGTCAGTAGCATCCTTCTCAAGCCACCTGTGAATGATGCTAATGGGAAACGGGGCACAAGCAAGCATCTTCTCACCAAGTAACTTACTTCACTCGGTGACACTAGTGTGTTATCCTTACACTACTGGGATACAGTACCATGTTGTGTAATACAGGAAGACTGTGAAACAACTACTGTGGGAAACTACACAAATATCATGTAAGTTTTTTTTTTCCCCCTTATAAGGTAGGCATTCCTTGGCTTTTACTGAAGAACTAAAATACTACTCAAATCTCAAAGAAGCCAGAAATTTCTCAGAGTGAAAAACCATTAAGACAGCATGAAGTATTTTCTTTTTATTCAATAAACACCCAAAGTCAGTAATTTGTTACAGAAATAAATCTTCTAATTTGAATAAAAATAGTTAAAAAAAAAAAAAGCTAGCATGACTGGAAAAATTTAGGAATTTGTGTGCTACTTTCATTAAAAGCACTTAATATTACAAGAATTATTTAAATCTTAGTCTATGGGTCTCATAAAAAGTGTGATATGAAAACTGTCTTCTATTGTATTGTATATCTAAATGTGTGCCACCTAATCTATGAGCTTCCACCTTTTAAGAAACATAAAAGATAAAGTACACGTTTATCACCATGCCCTTCAATCTAAGAACTCCTCAGTCTCAGCCAAACCAGGACAGCAGCCACCCTGTGGTGCAAAAATGATTCCACGAGACTGTAGTTTTTATCTTATGGCTTTAAACAGTACTTTCTTCCCGGTACATGCACTAGCTTGCATTAAGCCATTTGGTGAGCATAAGAGAAAGAACGGAGAGCTTGTCTAGCAAAGACACTGCTGGTGGCCATCTCTTCCCCCCAGTACAGCCAGCTCATCAGTCACTCTTTGAAGCAATCCTGCTGCAGGCAGCTCCCAGAACCCACATTTGGAAGAATTACACAAAGCATCTCAGGGTTCTATCCAGTGTTATCTTTGGCTCTGAGAATAAGAAACTTCAGTGAAGGGTATATGATGCAGCTGGGAGCTACTTGTTCTTAGAACAGGAGTCATCACTCTATACTTAGCTTGAATTTCTCATATTCCTCTAATCTGCAAAAGTGTGCACATTTTATACTTGAGTTTTACATGAAAAGATTCCAAAGCAACTTTTTTGGGGGGATCTTGAGCTATCACTCCTTTGGTCCCTAAGTACTTATCCCATTTTTACAATACTTAATATAAGACAAACACATACTGAGGAAAGATGCACCAAAGCATTAACAGTGGTTATATATTTAAGTGGCAGAGCTTTACTTAATATGCTTTTTTTGTGTATTAGTTAATTATGGTACACTACTATACATTACTTTTATAGTAAAAAAATAAGAATTAGAAACAAAATTTTAATTTTCTATTTCTGTGTTGTATAATGACAATGTACAAAGTACAGTGGGAAATACCCACTTCCAACTCAAAATCATAGAAAAACACAGAAAGGTTAACATCTTAAACACAGGGTCGCACATTACTCACTGTCTCTCGAACTTCAGCAACTTCTGAATATGTCATGATCTAAAAAGAAAACAGATCTTCTCAGGAGCAATTTAATCTCAAATTGCTGAGGGTGAAATTAAAGAGCACCCAGAGCTTACAAAGGGACTTCCATACTCTACAAAGTAACATTTAAAGGAGGTGGGAAGTGCAAGAGGATTTTCACACTAGGAATTAAACTCTTCATTTTTCTTCTTTTAAATCCGGTGGCTTCAGGAAATTACAATCTGTCAGGCTATGCAGTTCTCTGGAATGTTCTGGAAGGAATTTCATTTTTATCCCTCTGGGTATTTATTACATTCTATCGACTTTTTTGCTATGATGGGCTTTATTGGTATTTCCTATTTGTACTAGTGTGGCCCTGTCTCACTGCACTGTGGCCCTCTCACTCAGTGCACCAGCGATCCTGAACAACAGCCCCCAGCCCGGCTGTTCAGGTAACTTCCAGGCCTCGTTTGCAGATGGAGTTTACCTCTCAAACACTTCTACCCATGCATTTGGGCACTGGTAGGAATTAACTTCTAGTTCTAAAATTCTGGTAAGAAAGAAAGGTTAATTTTAGGCTTATTTTAGAAAGCATTTTTTTTCTGTCAAAAAATAACGCTTATTAGATCTCAGAAACCAGTTCCTATACCCCCACCCCCAGGTCTAATCAAGTCTTTAGGTTCATCTCTACATCGTTCTATCTCACGCCCAGTCTCTAATTTCCCACTAACACATCCTGCCACCTCAACTTCTCCTTTCTGAAGCTGTACCCACAGTGACTTTCATTCTTCTCACTCATTCACCATGCTAGATACTGAAATTCATGAGAGAATGAAGTAAGCTTCCTACTGCCAAGACTAATACGTATTGTATTCACTTGACGCTAAGATGAGTTTAATCATTCCTCAAGTCTGCCATGAACTCCTGGGATGTTTCTTTTTCTCCTCTGTGAATGCATTAGTTATTACATGTTATCACTCTCTGGAGCTACTGTGAGGATTTGTAATAGTTTGTTTAAGTATACTTTCTAGTGTCCTTGAAAAGTATGACAACACAAGGAACCCGTGTGGATAGTGTTCAACCTAAGATAATTTTCAAAGTGATCATGGTGAAAATGTAATTCCTCTACTCAAAAGCATTTGATACAATGTTCTTTATAAAATAAGCCTCAAACTCTGGTATTTAAAATCTACAGTTCAGCTAAGTTATTCATCCCACAGCATTGCTTTACTCTCCCATAGGAAAGCCTTGAAATTCCACTTACCTTAGTTTTGATTGCCAGAACTGATTGTACATAGTGATTTGTAATCTGTGCCACCACCCCCTGCCCCCCACAAGTTTTCTTTCTGTTTAGCTGCCCAACAATTTGAAAATCCTCTGATCTTCGTGGTTCAATTTACATAACCAAAATCCAATCTGGAATTATCCTTCCCAGTCTCTGGCTTCCTCGGAGTACTTTCCTCATTGCTTAGTGTTTAAACATGATATTCCAGTATTGTCAATGAACTGTCACTGCATCTTTCTGTTACCATCAGACAGGACTGTGACAGAGCCCAGAGTACCACCTATTCCTTAAAACACCAGCCCTGCACCTAGCAGTTAAAGTCCAACCACCAGGCTACTCAACAGACATAAAAGCTCACCATCAATACTCTGCTGAGAAATCAGCCCTTACAACCAGGCTTGGTTGTGCAAACCTGAATCCCAGCTGGTTTGGGAAATCTGAGGCAGGAGGGTTATAAATTCAGTGCCTGTCTTGGCTACACAATGAGCACAAGGGCAGCCTGGGAAACCTATTCACACTCAGATCCTATCACAAAACAACATGTACAAATGTGGGCCGAGCACCTGGCTAGCATGCAGAAGGCCCCGTGTTCAATCTCCACCAGAGAAAGGAGGGATAAGGAAGATTGGGAAGTCCCAAAGATTCTGCTCAAGAGCTGCTTCATTAGAAGACAGTCTTTATATTCCACTCCTTAGTCTCCAGTCTATTCCACTCTCTCCATCCTATCACGCTTTATTTTTCATCACATGGACACAGGACATAGTTTCATCTTCCACCACTCAGATATTCTACCGGAGTAAGAGTTGAATTAATTTGTTTTGCTCACTGCTGTATACCTTAAAGCAACAAGGAAACCTTACATTACAGATATTCAGCAAACAATGGAATATATGCATGAGTGAAAAGAAAAGGTTGACTCATTATTATAAACTCAATCAACAGTGGGGTTTTTAAACGTTATTCTTTGCAGGGGGGGAGAACGAGGGTTGCTCTTCCAGAAGGTCTAGAGGACAACTCTGAGGAGTCAGCTCTCTCCTTCCACCTATACATGGGTTTTAAGGGTCAAACTCAGGTCATCAGGTTCATGAAGCTCCGAGACCTTTCTCCAGTGAGCCACCTTACCACACCCATGGGAGACATTGTCTTACGTATGTTTTCACATTCCTGTCCACTAAATGCATTAGTTAATTTTCCCTAAGACAAAAGTAAGCTTTGCCCATCTTTTTTATCTCCAGAAATGTTAACATACTGCATACCTAATGTCTTAGGGTTACTGTTGCTATGATGAAACCAAAGCAACTTAAGGAGGAAAGGGCTTATTTGGCTTGTGTTTCCTTATCAGCATCTGTCATTGAAGGAAGTCAAGACAGCAACTCAGACAGGGCAGGAACCTGGAGGCAGGAGCTGATGGAGATGCCATGGAGAAGTATTACTTACCGGCTTGCTCCTCAGGGCTTGCTCAGCCTGCTTTCTTATAGAATCCAGGACCACCAGTCCAGGGATGGCCCCATCTAAGATGCACTGGGTCCACCCCCACCAATCACTGATCAAGAAAATGCCCTATAGGCTTGCCCGCAACCAGATCTTATGGAGAAGTTTTCTCAATTCAGGCTCCCCTTCTCAGATGACTATAGCTTGTGTCAAGATGATATAAAATTAGTCAGCAAATCTAATGTGACACACGAAGGATTAACATGGAAAGTTAATGTGAATTCTTAAGGCATGTATACCAGGCTAGCCACAAACTAGATTAGTAGAGGGTGACCTTGAACTTCTGATCTTCCTGAGTTAATAAAGTCTGAATTACAAGCCAAACTTTATAATAATGTAAAAGTTGTAGCCTTGAATAGTTATCTTGAATTTAGTTTTTCTCATTTGCTCAATCAAGTTGATTCCTAAAATTCAACAGACACGGCCTCAACCCTAAGAATACCCTAGTTGTTATCCACAACACAGGCAATCCTTCCACTATTAGTCTTATTAATCTTTTGCTACAACACAGATTTGTCTATCTGTATCCATTTTTAGTAACGGAGCATACATAGCAGTTCTTCTGGTATTGGCAATTCCCTGCCATAGCTAAACCTACTTCCTCAATCAAAGTCCTTACACACAGAGCAGCTCAAAACTATCAACATGAGTTTTCACTTGGAACTTGTGTCATTCAAATGGTGGGGTAACCGGAAGGAAATTGTGGTTATAAAACAAGAAAAATGTGTTTGCTGTTCATGAAATAAACTTATAAACCTAGACTTTGACTTCATGAAACACTTCCCTCTCAATCTGATTCAATCAACCAGTTAACTGGAAAGGTTATGGAAACAATACAACCACAGCCATATTATCACACCACAATCACACCAGGTGAAAGATGAGAACCGGTTATATTAGAAATGCAGGTAAGTAATTATTCCAGAGTTCATCTTACAATGTTAGCTTAATCTTATGATGGGCTTAAATCATTTTAATTTTCACTCTGAAAGAAGAGCTTACCTTACTTGGAACTTCATCTGGTAAATTATTTACATTGTTTACACAGATACATGAATTGTATGCTTGAGTGAGTCAGTCAAGACCAAGATGAACATTAACAAATATCTTCTCAGCTTCTAGAAATCTATTGTTTCTAAAAATCGCTGCATAAACTAGTATACTTATACATAAACTAGTATACCTAGCTGAGTATTATCAAGCCACAGACAAGACTGCTAATGCTAAGGAAATGTTGGTCTCCGTGGCTCACACAAAGTCACAATTAGGTACTAGAGAGCAACACTCTGGAAATTATTGTGTACATTATAATAATGAATACAAAATACTTTAAAAGGATGTTGAAAAGAATAAGTGTAATACAGAGTTTCTGACATATGTCTTTGCACGCAATGACAAGAAAAACAGAATTGAGTATCTGTACTTAAATCTCAAGATTACCCTCTTCCCTAAGAGACCTCATTCAAATGGCCCTTTGAGAGCCTCAATTTCTTCATTTCTACAGAGAACACCTACACTTCATGGTATTATGGAGATTACCATGAAAGTGTGAGACAGGCAGCTCAGGGAAGGCCACATAGTTAAGAATGCAAGGAATAATTTTCTTCCCACACAAGTATAGTAATATAACAAAAGCTTAAATTCAGCAAAATTCAGAAGGACGTAGGAAACTATTAAACGTGTAACAGGTGCTAGAGAAAGCACGATGAGGTACTTAATGAAGTCTTCACTCACACTTATTTTGGATTTTCCCAACAAGGATAGTTTTTGACTATAGAGGCCAAAGCAAAATATTAAGAAAAGCCTTGCAGCAAAATGAAAAGTTGAAAGTTCCACTACACTAGGTCCAACTCTCTTACAAACAGAAATAATGGCCAAATTATTTAACTCCTACACTATAGAATCATGAAACTCCTTTCTAATAGTGCTCAATAAGTACCATATACACATCAGATACTCTGTTGTATTGCTATAACTCCACTATATTCTAATCTCCCTAAAAGAGACATTATTAACTAAAATGCAACTAACTGAAAAAGTTCTGATGTAGGAAAGAATGAAGAATTAACAGTAGCTTGAGTAATAGAAACAAATGATGGAAGACAAGCACGAAAGAACAATCATGAAAACTAAGAGTCAAGTGTGATGATGCTCTCCTCCAACACCAGCACTTGGGTAGTGAGGCAAGACCAGGACCATCTTCTCATCCACAGCAAGTTTAAGACCAGCCTGAGCTACATGAGACCGTCTCAAAATAAAT